GAGTTCCAGGTCAGGCTGAACTACATTGTGAGACCCTGTCTCAAAAACAAAACAAAACAAAACAAAAACCAAATATTTCAGCTTCATTAATATTGGTTTGTTTAGAATTTTTAGGTCTTCTTCATTCAAATTTGGTAATTCATATGTATCTAGAAATCTGTCCATTTCTTCTGTCTTCCATCTTATTGGCATGTAGGCTTTTGAAGTAGGTATTGATGATCCTCTGGATTTCTGCTGAATCTGTTGTACTTTCACCCTTTTCAAAAAACCAAATATTTCAGCTTCATTAATATTGGTTTGTTTAGAATTTTTAGGTCTTCTTCATTCAAATTTGGTAATTCATATGTATCTAGAAATCTGTCCATTTCTTCTGTCTTCCATCTTATTGGCATGTAGGCTTTTGAAGTAGGTATTGATGATCCTCTGGATTTCTGCTGAATCTGTTGTACTTTCACCCTTTTCATTTCTAATTGCATGGATTTGGGCCTCTTCTTTCCTTTTTTTTTTTTTTTTTTGATAAGTTTGGCTAAGGGTTTGTCAATTTTCTTAATTCTTTCGAAGAACCAACTCTTTGTTCCATTGATTTTTTTAAATTGTTATTTTAGTCTTGATTGCATTGATTTCTGCTCTTTATAATTTCTTCCCTTGTGTGAGCTTTGGGTTTATCTTGCTTTTCTTTTTCTAGAAGCTTGAAGTTCAGCATTAGGTTATTTGAGCTCACTCTGTTTTCCTAATATGGGTATTCAACACTACGAATTTCCCTCATTAGACTGCATTCATTATGTCCCATAAGTTCCAATATGTTGTATTGGCATTGTTATTTGATTATAGAAACTGTCTAATTTATTACTTTCCTCTCTGACCCTTTGGTTGTTCAGTAGGGTGTTGTTTGATATCCATGTGTTTATGAAATTCTTGTGGTTTCTTTTCTTTTTCTTTTTCTTTTTTTCTTTTTTTTTTTTTGGTAGTTTATTTTCTGTTGATCTCCAATTTCATTGCACTATGATCGGATAATATACAGGGGATAACTTCAATTTCTGTGCATTTACTTAAACATGTTCTATGAGCAAATATAATCTGTTTTGGAGAATGACCCATGTACAGCTGAAAAGAATGTGTATTCTGATTTTCTGGGCAGAACACGGTAAACATCTGTTAAGTCCATTTGTTCAAGAGTTTGGTTGATTTCTAGTATTTCGGTTTTTTGTTTTGTTTTTGTCTAGTTCTATTTGTGACAGTGAGGTATTGAAGTACTACTATTGTGTTAGTGCTTATATTTTCACATCTATTTCGTATAGTTGTATGCACTAGTATTTGGTGTATATATATTTATGATTGTCATTTCTTCAATTGTTCCCTTTACAAAGATGTAGTGACCTTCTTTGCCTCTCTCTGGTTTTTTGAGACAGGTCTCACTATGTAGTTGAGACTGACCTGGAACTCACTATATAGTTTAGGCTGGTCTCAAACTCAGAGCGATCCTCCTGCCTCAGCCTCCTGAGTGCTGGGGTTACAGGCATGCACCACCACACCCGGCCTTTGCCTCTCTTAATTAGTTTTGGTTTGAAATCCATTTTGTCTGCAGATAGGATAGCCACTCCTGCTTTTGGGGGGGTTCATATCGCATGGATTATTGTTTTTCACCCTTTAACTTTCAGTCTGTGAATTTCTTTTTGAAGTAAGTGTGCTTCTTGTATGCAGCATATTTTTGGATTTTTCTTCTTGACCCATTCTGCTGGTCTTTTTCTTTTGATTGGTGAATTGAGAGCATTAACATTGATGGCTATAACTGATATATATTGACTTATCTTCGCCATGATCTTTTCCTCTTGTTGGATTTCCCCCACCTTTGCATTTCATTTCTTGTCTTCCCTGATGAATTTATTCTGTTGGGTTTTGTGGGGTTTGTAACCCTCATTGCCTTTCCCTAGGATATTGTTTAAAATTTTTGGAGTGCTGTTTTGGTATTCATGAAGTTCCCCAGGTGTTCTTTGTCATGAAAGTATCTTCTCCATGGATTTTGAAAGAAAAATTTGCAGAGTATATCAGTCTGGGGGTTAGAGGTTTTTTTCTTTTAGCACTTGAAATACTTCGCTGCAGGCCTCCTTGACATACGGGTTTGTGTTGACAAGTCCGCTGAGATTCTGATGGGCTTTCCTTCGTATGTGATTTTGTTTCTTTTTTCTAGGTGCAATATTTTGTTACTTTGATGGGTTTCTGGAATCTTGACTATTATATGCCTAGGTGTAGATTTTTTTTAATCACATCTAGTTGGTATCCTATATACCACACTTATTTCTATGTCAAATTCTTTCCCCTGCTTGGTAAGATTTCTGCCATTACTTCTGTGAACAGTTTTTTTTTTTTTTTTAAACATCATCTGCATTATCTCCTGTTTCTTCATTAACTCAGATCATGCTTAGGTTATTCTTCTGTGCATCCCTCAGCAGCTGCTGTATTGATTCTCATGGTCCCTTGCTATTTTTAAGAATTCTTCTTTTCCTGGTCACTAGCCATCATCCTGTCTTCTATATCTGATATTCTGTCCTCACTTTAGCTCATTCTGCTGTGTAAACTCTCAGTGGATTTTTGGTGTTTTTTTTTTGTTTGTTTGTTTGTTTTTTGGTATGGGGATTGAATATGGGACCTTGTGCTTGCAAGGCAGGCAGTGGAACCAGGGATTTAGTGAGCTAAATCCATGGCCCTCATTTGAGTTTTTAATCTTCTCGATATCTGTTTGAATCTTCTTTATTGGATTCCATTTGTTTCCTATGCTGGGGTTCCATTATGTTCCTGTGCTCCTCTATTTTTTTTTTTTTTAATCTGTGTGCTCTAGAGTCATTGTGTCTTTCACTATGGACACTATCTGTGTTGTTATCTGAGAAATGATTTCTGATTTCATTTTTTTCTAAATCATCTTTTCTTGCCAGTTCAATGAATCCAGGTGGTTGAGTTTCAGATTTTTTCATCTCACCCCTTGGATTTCCCTGTGGTGATCTGAAAATCTGGGTTTGTGTCTTATTTAAGTGTCTTCTCGTTTGTTTTTGTGTTACTCTTGAAAGTTTTGGTTTAATTTGTGACTTGTAAATTGCTTATTGCTCATATTTAGTTCCTTTATGGAATGGCTACTTATTGGATTGTCTTGCTGGTATAGTTGGCCTTTGGGTTTAGAGTCCTAAACGACCTTTAAGTAATCTGTCTCGGTCTACCAGTAAAGACAGTTGACTAAAGCAGTCAAGTTACCTTGACCAAAGTAATACAATCAGCAACAACCATAGCATCAAGCACTGCTTAGAAAATGGCAAAATATGGTAGCTATTATTCTGACACCTTTTATTGCATAATATATTTACAGTTAGTAAGCCCTTCAGTACAGTGGCTTTACTCTCTTGGAAAAAGCCTTAGAAGGAAGGGATGGAGAGTGGAATAGGAGGGAGAGATCAGAAGTAGGGCTAGAGGAATCACAAACTTTGGGAAAGCGGTGAAGACAGGAGAAAAAGAGGGTAGAAAGAAACAGAAGAATGGAACAAACTAACAGCAACAAGAAACTAGAAACTAGTCAAACTCTTAACATTGAGAATAATCAAGAAAATAATGGACAAAAAGCAGGAGCAAGAAGGAGAAATGAAGAAGAAGAAAAGAGAGGAAAAAAAGGTCCCCTTGGAGTCTGACTGCTGTTGCTTGTATACAATGTGGGCAGCAGCGGGCAGAGCCAAGTCCATCAGTCTCCACAAGCCAGCTGTAGTCTAGTGAGATTCAGGTTGGTTTTTGGCTGGGAGGCCAGAATTGAACTCCCTTAACCTCCTATGGGTTAGATCTCTACAAGGTTCAACTATAGATTCTCTACAAGTTCTACTGGACCTGGCAGATCCAGGTTTCGTAGGAGGTTGTTGGTTCCAGCAACTAAGATTGCTATACTCTGTCCTTTCTTCACCCTCCCAATGGGCTTCAATTTTCAACCACAACAAGCCTTGGAGAGGTCCTGTCTCTACTGCTCACCACTGCACCATCTCGAAGCTCATAACAGTGGTTCCCTAGCCCCAGGTGCCTCTGCCATGTGGATCTGGTTCATGGAGGACACAGGGAGCTGGGGGAATGAAGGCCACAGGTCTCTTTGTGGGATGAGAATGGAAGCCCAGAAATTGTTCATTTTTATGTTTATGCTTAATCTTTATTTTCCCAAAAACAAAGGATTAAAAAGCACCTGTTTACAAAATATAGAGTATACAGTTATCATTTCACCTAATCCTGTATTAATTTTGCTCCTGTTTTTTGAAAAAAGGAATGAATAGCACAATTTCTCATACAGAGTATATGATTAGTAAATAGTTATTCATTGAATAAATGTGTAAACAAAGTGTATTTTCCTGAAGCCTGAAAATGTGGTTAGCACCTGGAGTAGAAAGCTGGTTCATATGCTAATAATCTTTTAAGTTTGGAGGACTTTGTGAAATGTGTTGCTTTTCTCTGTCAATAATTTTAGTTTGGAGTCCTTTCTCGCAGTCTCTTGATATTAATATCTAGTAGCCATGTAATTTGTGATGATAGTTTTTCTACACTTCCCCCTACAATAGCAGATTTTGAACAGAAGCAGTAATGTAACTAATAAAGACTGATTGTATAATGAATTATTTTAATCTAAACTAACTTGTAGAAAAGGTTTGTTCCATTTCTAATTTGACTTCTCCACAGCTGAATTTTCAATTTTTCCTATTTCTGTGACCTAGAGACACAATTTCTGTTTCATTCCTAAAAATTACTCTGGATTTTGTTTTGATGGTTTCTACTTTTTTCTGTCTTCCCACCAGTTAGGGTTATGATGGTGTGGTACTCTAGTGTGGAAGCACAAGGGAAGGGAATGACAAGAAAGTGCTTTTAGAGTTAAGGTCAGGGACCTGACTGGTTGAGGTAGAATCCAAGGCCCAGGACTTATTCTAATACTGCTTGCATTTATTTGCAGTTAATTTTCTACCAAAGAATAATTTTTAAATTATTTTTAGATGAAAATAAAAAACCAGTATATTTGGTCACAACACTGGATAACACAATGGAAGATCTATTAACACTGGAATATGTGAAGGTAAGCAGTTCCGTTCATATGGCTTGACAGGTAAGTGTGCTACTGAATTTTTTAATTAAGGAATAGTTTTTAAATATTCATTCTTGTATATCCTTAGTAACTCATAACACTTTGTGCCTTGTCATTCTCTGTAATATGTGATTTACTAGCACTTCAGTATAGCACAATAAGTAGCCTGTGTTCCATAGAAAAGAATTGCAATTCAAACACCCCCCTCAACACCCACCCATCCACCCCTAGGCTATTGAGAAAAGCTTTTGGTCTCCATGGAATGTATTATTATGCAAGATGTTGATTTCACTCTATTTTCTACTATTGTCTGAAGTTAGCTGATTTTCCTAGTATTAGTGACTCCATTCCATTTGTATTGATATATAATTTTTTCATCTATGAAGTTTTTCATGTGTAATGGTGTATTTATGATTTTTCCAATAGACATTTTTACATGTCATATCATGTTAATCACTTTACAATCAGAATAATGCCAGAGTATTTTCACTTTTAAGACCATTTTTGCTATCCATTATTGATACTGATACTTGAGAATTTTTGTTGTTTGTATTAACTTTTCAATTACAAAAATATTCTATATCTAAAGCAAATTAGTGTATGAAGAAAATTTAATTCCCAAAAGAGGTGAAATCTTTCCATTTGCAGTAACATAGATGAATCTGGAGGATACTGTGCTAAATGAAATAATCCAAGCACAGAAAGACAGTTACTGTACAAACCTCAGTTATATGTAGAATCAGTAAAATTGAATTCAGAAGTAGAAGAATAATGTCTACCAGAAGCTGAGGATGGTAGGAAGGGAAGTATAAAAGGAAGCAATGTATTAGATGTATCAGAGGAATAAGTTCTGAGATCTGTTCCACAATGAATTCACTATATTTAATATATTTCAAAATAAAAGTACATTTCAAGCATCTCACTGCAAAAAATGATAGGTACAAAGCTATTATCTTGATTTAATCATTCCATATTATATACCTGCATCAGATAACACATGCTATTCCATAAAGATAGGCAGTTATGGTTTATCAATGAAAAATAATATAAGGAATAAAGTTTTGAGCAAGAAAACCAATATTTGGATACTTTATTGACATTCTGTCACAAATTTTATTTTCATAATTAGGAAGACTCATTTAGAGTTCTTGACAATCAAGTGATTGTTTTCTACACTTGATATTTTCTACCATTTCTTCTCATCAGAATAGCAATGATAGTATGAAATATTTACTAAATATTTGCTGTGTATTAGAGAAGATCATAGTAAACCAAATTTGTTTTGGTAAAGCAGCTGCTGTGTTCTAGTGAAGCAGTTGTTTGTTGAACTCTGTGTATATATAGTGTGTAATATCCTTATGTAAAACTAAATGTATGATATATACTTAATATATATAATATGGTTACCTTATACATATCACATACACACCTGGAATAATTATATAAATTTTAGGGCTACTATATAATAGTATGTGCATGTATCTTCTTATAATGTTCTAAGTGATTTGTTTTCTTTTTGGACAGACTGAAAAAAATGCACCTAACTTAAAAAGTACCTATAATAATGTTTTACAGATGATCAAGGTATGAATGGATGTTAATTCTTGTTTTAATTAGATACTATATTTCTGTGTCTAAGTATATAATGAAAAATTATAGCTGGAATATAAGATCCTTGAGGGTAAAACAATAGTATGTCGTATTTGTCTTAAATTTGTTCTTGTGTATTGCTGAGGATCGAATCTTAAACTTTAAATGCGAGGCAGTCACTCTGCTACTGAAGTATATCCCTAGTCTAAATCATATCCTTTATCCCTGTGTTAGTCACTTGTATTTGTGGGATAAATACTTGACATCTGCTGTTTAAAAGAGTTTTATTTTGCTCACAGTTTCAGATGGTTCAGTCCACAGATGGTTGGCTCCAAGGCAGAAATGGCATGGCAGAGGAGCTGTTCCACCCGTGGGCACCCCTGAAATAGAAATAAAGAAGGGAGAAGCTGGGGACAAGAATACACCTTTCTAGGTCAATCCCCCAATAAACTGCCTCTTTCAACCAGACCCAACCTCCTAACAGCACATTCAGCTCTGAACTCATCAGTGGATTAATCTGTTGATGAGTATAGTGCTCCCATGATCCAGAATCCTTTTGAAAGCCCCATGTCAGGACATATGAGAATTTGGAGGGATGTATTAGATGTAAATTGTAACATTGTTGCAAAATGTATTATCCTATAGAGACCAGGCAAACACATTTTCGTTAACCTGTTAAGTAACTTCTGCTTCATTCTTTAGGTGAATTTTTCCTCTTTGGATATTCATTTACATACAGAAGCACTTCTGAATACAATAAATTATCTTAATAAAATCTTTCCACCCTCTCTGGAAAAATCAGCCTCAGTGTCTGTTGAGACTGAAGACAAAGGAGAAGTCATTAAAAAATTAGGTATATTTTTCAAAAATTTAAATGCAGTTTTTTTTTTTGTTGTTGTTGTTGTTGTTTTGCCAAGTTCATCAGTAAATTTAGGCTCTGAGTTTATTAACTTACAGTGATGACCCTAGAATTCTATTGCCCAGAAGGCACAACTTTTAGTGAATGCCAAGCTGCAACTCAAAACCTTATTTATTGCAAAGGGCCAACACTGCAATTATATCTGAATGCTGAGGTTTTACTTTAGAAAAAACATCTCTACATTAACATCTTTTCTTTTAATATATTCCAGGTTAATTTTAAGAAATAATGGTCAAAGAAACTGAATACTGCTGAAGAAAAATTGTTATATGAAGTTTATATAATGAAATATATAAATTATAGTTGAAGATGATACAGAACTATTTGATTTAGATTAAAATTCATGCATTTATTAACATTTTAGATTAGTAAAGTAAACCAAAATTTGAGTAATATCATAATGTATTTTTAATCAGAGCACAGGTTGAATATCATTAAAATATTTTAAATTTGGAGTGCTCCAAAATTAGAAAATTTTGGGGTGTCAGTTTGTACTAAGAAAGTTCTGGATTTTGGACAATTTCAGATTTTAGATCTTTGGGTGCCTAACCTATTAATTATTAAATGCAGTGAACATCTGTAATTTTTATGATCAGTACCTTTTGATTATTAGGTCATAAAGGATTTAGGACTTTGCAGCTATAGTTCTTAATTTCAAATGTTCAGTCTTTGCTAGGAACACAGTTTTATTTTGCCCTTTCATTTTTGTTTTCATTAGGGGTAGAAGTTCTAGTTTAACAGGAAATTCCTTATGTTGCTTTCATTTAAATTGTAAATGAGATTTTCATTATCGTCATCATAATCAAATAATATTGTGGTGATATTTCAGTTATTTTGTAAATATAGTATAACTACTAAAAATTTCCCTTATCTTTTACAATATTTTTTGTAGCTTTCAAGCAGTCTGTGAATGAAGATGTTATTACTTTGCAGATTTTAGCAGAATTATCATGTTTACAGATTTTTATTCAAGAACAGAAACGTAACATTTCTGAAATTAAGATTGAAGGTAATAAAGTTTCATAACAATAAATTTAAAGCTCTTAAATAAAAGAAAAAGCAATTATACTTTTGTTTCCTTAGGACTTGATTCTGAGATAATTATGAGGCCTTCAGTAACTGAAATAAATGCAAAGCTAAGAAATATAATTGTTTTGGATTCAGATACAATGGCTGTATACAAAAAGGTAAGAATTTACGGGAGGGGAAGTGAAATTAAAAAGATGAGTTAGGTACATGTACTAATTTCCCCATGATAAATATAGTCACTAAGTTATGCAAATATGTACTTGTAAAAATTTTTTTAAAAAGTAAGAATTTGTTAAGTAATGCATCATTAAATATGAATATCCTTTAAAAGCAATGGTACTTAGAGTAGATGATTGTTATTTTAGCACCATGGCTTATTTATATGCAAGGATTTATTTTGTCATTTTATTTTAGAACAGAGGAGTTATAGCTTTATTGGTCATTTACTTGTTTCCTCTCAGCCGCATGAAGAAAAAAAAGACCCAACAAAAGTCCCTACATTTTCTTATGTAATTTAAAATACTACATCAAGCTTTATTTGCCTTTCTTCTCTATCAGTTGGCCTTGCATTTTTTATTGTATGTTTTCAGAGGCCCATGAAAATCTCGCCTTTTAAAATTAGCACCAAATATAACCCAACTCTCTGGAACCATTTAAATATTTCTGTTAACATGAGTCATTTTCTATCAGTGGTGCTTAAAGTTTTTTTTTATATTCAGAATTTTAACTTTCAGTGTTTTTTACTAAATATTAAAACCACAGTACTTGAGATTCTCACCCAGAGTAGATAATCCTGTGCCTATAGTATATTGCTTTATTAATACATTTTTTAAAATGTGTTAAAACTGAATTTTTTTTTGTTTTTTTTTGGTACTGGGGATCGAACTCGGGGACCTTGCATTTTCATGGCAAGCAATGGCACCACTGAGCTACATCCCCAGCCCAAAACTGAAAAATTTTAAGTTCCATCAGTTCTGTTGTTGGTTTTTTTTTGGTACCAGGAATTGAACTCGGGTCCTTGCACTTGCAAGGCAGGCCACCGAACCACTGAGCTAAATCCCAGACCCTAGTTCCATCAATTCTGATAGTTAATAAATTGGTTGGAAATAGCCTACTTGCTTATTCTTATAGTAGAACAACCCGTTTAATCTTACATGTATATTACTGTATAACAATGTTAACCCTACACTACTGTATTACATACACTGTTAAGAGAGTCCTTTGAACTGAAGGATTAGTAGTTGAAGGATAGGTATTTTGTTACTAGTTATAAAACTGTAAGGTTTCTTGGACTAGAAATTTTTATGGATTTGGACAAGTAACTCTTGAATAATGAAGCATGAATAGAATGTTATATTGAAGGGAGTAAAGAGAATATCAAGTACTTAGATTAGGAAAATCTAAAGTACTCACTGAGTCAGGAAATCAGCATTTGGAATTTGGCAAAATAGGAAACATAAATGGATTTAGCTAGTAATCTTGATAGTCATCAACTGATTTTTATTTTAAAAGCAAAAAAAATTATCTTACTTATTCTGGCTTATTTAGCATGAGATAAGTCAAAAAGTCATGCCCCATAGGAATAAGGAACAAGAAAATTTCCAAAGGCCATTGTTTGATTTTATATTTTATTTTTACTTTAAAAATTATAATTTACAGAGCATTTAGAAAGTAAATTTAAAAAATCTATTTTGCCCATCTGGAAATGAAGCTCACAGAACTAAAAGTATCTGCTAAAAGACATTTAAGTGATTAGTGACAGATAGTATAATCCAAAACATTAATTTTTTTTCTCAGTAATGTTTTTTTTCATCTAAATAAAAGGTTAAAAATTCAGTTTTCAAAATGCTAAACTGAAGTTTGTTTTGTTTTTGTCTTCTTGTCTCGTTGTCTAGATGGGAGAACCAGGCTTTCTGGCTCTTTAGTTTACATTCTGCTCTATTTTCTGCTGTCTCTCGGTTCCATACTATCTTCATTATTAGACAGGATTTTGTTTTGTTTTTTCAATTTTAAAAATTTATTCTCTTCTATCATGTTACTCTTCCTCAACGCCTACCTGTTCTCAGGCTTTTGTGCTTACATATAAATTTTAGAATCTTCTTCCTAGGTTTAAAAAAAAAATCTCATTAGTATTTTATCTTTTACCTTTAAAAGGCAAGAAATTATTTATTAATGCCATTATAAAACGGTGAGTGCTTCCATTTCCTTCATTGTCTCATAATTTTGTTTTTAATCTGGGTTTTTTGAGATGGGGTCTTGCTATGTAGTTCACATAGCAAGGCCTCACACTTGGCAGTGATCCTCTTGTCTTAGCCTCCCGAGTACTGGGATTGTAGGCATGCACCACCAAGGCCTACTTTCACGATTCTTTTAAATTTGTTTGGATGAGGAACCACTGAACAGCATTTCACTGATACGATGCTTAAACCTGTTTTATTGTATAAATTTCCTTTAATCAGACTAACACATTTTTTCTGTTGCATACATTTGTTACGATTGTATTTATTCTGTAGACTTTTTCAAAGCCTAGATTTTGCTGATTATGTTGCATTATTTAGAGTGTTCATTTATTTCTTATATTTTTTATAAATTGAGAGTTAAATATCGGAAATTCATTACTGCTTTTTTTGGAGGAGAGCAAGATACTTCATAGTTGGTATCTTTATTTTCGAAGGAAGCACTGTGTATCTGTGTGTGTGTGTGTGTGCACAGGCGCATGTGTGTATCCATTTGTTGTGATTTCTTCCAATTTGGTCTCATCTCTGTCTGAAGGATGGCCATAAACCTAGATAGCCCCTAGCTAGGTGGAGATGTTGTAGTCAGGTAAGACAGAAGAGGTAGTGCAATAAAATACATAAAGTGACAGAAATATCTTACTACTACAGATCCACGAGAGAAGAGGGGTACCCCAGGAGGGAGGTAATGGAAAGTCTGGAAGTAGTTGAGCACTCAGCCAGTGGGTAGAAAGTGTGTTTACCTTAGGAGAGAGGGAGGAGAGCAGAAGGGAAGATGATAACCCAATGGAGAGTTGATGGTGCTGCTGGGCCTTTACACCTTTAAGTTTTCTTGGGGTGGGGGTGAATTGTCTTATTTAAAGGAAAAAAAAAGGGGAGGGACCTTAATGGTAGAGCTTGAGGCTGGTTATTAGCTGGTAATCCAGGTAGTTAACAGCTGTGGCCTTGTGTTGATTTGGGGCTTTTGAGATTGGGTTGCAAAAAAGCACAAAGGGGAAATTTTAACTAGGCCAAAGGTGATGGTCTGTGACTTAAATTCAAATAACTTGTGACAGGCCTGAAAATGGATCCTGAGACAGCAACGATTTTAAATGTATGACATGATTATTTTAGTAGGAGTTGCAAAGTCATACTGTTCTTGCTGAAACATTTCTTTATCAGATAAAGACTTCTCTAATGTATGCTGATTTTGCTGTTCTTGCTTTTCACAGGTTCATTCTCTTCTAGAATTCTTAGTTTGGCTCAGAGGAACAATATTACCTAGGCATTTGTGTGTTCCTGAAATTTTTATTGCAGAGTATGTTGACTGGATTTCAAATGCTTGGCTTGGATTTTCTTGTCTAGGTGGTCCGAAATGAGTTACTCCATGTTTTATAACCTAGTGTTGATAATAAATCTGATGATATTTTGATTTTCCCTTCTAAGGACATTGTCATTCTGCCTAGATATTTAGATCTACTTGAAAGCCTCTTATGGGTAAGATTGTGGACAAGTACACATATGGCCCCACATACTGAAAGTATCTGAAGTTTTTTTTCCTCTTACGATACTCTTTTTGCTTTGAAATAAGTACAGTAAGAGAAACATAAGCCTAACACAGTAGATGCTCAGAGCCAGTTGGTTGAAGGATGTGGAGGGCTTAACGCTGTATGTTTACAAGTTTCTACTTAAAATATTCATTTTGTACTGTGGTATTTTATTTTCTCCTAGCTGAACCTGGTAGGTCTCCTAGACCTCAGCTCTCTGCACTGAACTGTGTTTTGAGCAAATCTCTGTAGTTAGGCACAGAGGTGAATAGTCCCACTCATATGGCTTGCAGAGGATAGTCTTAATTTAAGGAAAAAAATAGATTTTTGATTATTGTAGTCAACAGAAGATACAAAGCTCCTATCCTCCTGGAAAAATTAATAATCAGTAATAGAAAACAATATTAGGGAGTGATGAGTGCTTTGAAAACACTGGCTTTGAAACATTTGGATAATGTGATATATAAGGATAATTTTAGGATTATCAAGAAATACCTCTTTGCATAAGAAACGTTTGAAAGCACTGGAATCTGAACAAATTATAGATTCAAGCCTTGTGGATAAACAGGTAGAAGAAATAACAACTGTAAAGGTCTTGTGGTGGGAATGTGCATGGCATATTTAGGAGGTTGTAGGGGTCGTGGTAACCCTTATGTAGTGTCATTTATTAGGTTTTTTGTATTGCTTTTGTTGATAGTTTTTGTTTTGTATTCTACTTTTCAGTGTCACCTTTATTGAACTACAATTTACCTGTAGTAAGACTTATACTCTTAGTGCAGAGTTGTGAGTTTTGACACACACATGTGGTTGGGTTAACTCCAATACCTTCAGGCCTGAAAGCAGAAATGGGGAACACTGACTCAGTCCACCCACAAGACAGGTTACAGATTTGTTGATATCCACCAAAGAAAAATAATTTTCAGGAGGCATCAGTAAGCGTGATAGGAATTTTTAGGCAAAATTTTTGAAGTACACATTCACAGACATAGAGTGCTGGCCCTCAAGAGAGACATTGCCTTGAGCTAAGTATAGTTACAGATGTTTAGGGACAGAAATCTATAGAATTTAGGAATTTCTAGAAAGGGGATTCATTTTACAAATTACAGGCTACAACTCTTTATGAAGAGAAAGGTTAATGGCCCATTCCTAAGTAATACCCATCACAGGAAATAGAGGCATAGACATCCATAGAGAAAAGTCAGTTTTAGAGATGAAAAGATATGGTCCTTACAGGTTTGAAAAAAAAGAAGGCCCACTTACTGGGAAAAGAATGGTCTAGGTCTGTTTTTATAGGTAAAAAGGAAAGGGCCAGTTTTATTATGTGTTTTCTTTTTAATTTAAATTTTTAATTTTATTATTGTACATGTTTATAATACATAATGATCACTGGGAGTTAGTACATGTATATAGCACATGCTAGTTCTTTTTACTCCTGCTTTCCTTTCCCTTACCCCCTCTCTCTGTTTCTTGGTCCTGTTCTCAAAATTTTGCTCTTTAGTTCATTTATACTTTGGATTTCTCATATAAGAGAAACTATGTGATACTTAAGCTTATGTGTATGATTTATTTCACTTAACACGATTGTCTTAAGATACATCCCTTTTCCTACAAAGGATTCAAATTTATCCCTCTATATGCAGAGTAGTATTCCATAGCATATAAATAATTAAATTTTTCTTTATTCGTTCATCTGTTGATGGACATAAAGGCCACTTCCAAGATTTAGCTGAGTTGTGCTGCTATAAACATGGGTATGAATGTATCTATAAACATGTATGCATGTAATACAGTGCCTTTAACTCTTTCAGAAAAATATACCCAGAAGGGGAATAGCTAAGTCAAATGTAATTTCTATTTTGAAGAATCTCCATATTGATTTCCATAGTGGTATTTACTAGTTTATACTGCCCTCTGACAATGTGGAAAAATTCCTTTTTCCTTGCAGCCTCCCACCATTTGTTATTATTTAATTTCTTGATGATAGCCATTTTTCTGTGGTAAGATAGATTGGCAGTGTTATTTTAAATTGTATTTCTCTAATGGCCAGAGATGATGAACATTTCTGTGTTTATTGGCCATTTGTACCTTTTCTAAGTATTAATTCATTTCAGTGACCCATTTTTTGATGGGAGTAGTGAGTTTTTCATGTATTCTAGACATTAGTCCTATGTCTGAGCAATAGCTAGCAAAAATGTTTTCCCATTCTGTAGCTTGTCTCCTCACTCTGTTGATTGTTTCCTTTGCTATGCAGAAGCTTTTTATTTTGATATTATCTTATTTGATATTATCTCATTATCTCTTAATGTTATTCTTGAGCAGTTGGGGTTATGCTTTATAAATTGTTGCCTATGCCTATGACCTCAAGAATTTTTACCTATTTTATCTTCCAGCAGACTAAATATTTCTATTTTAATATTTAAATATTTGATTTCATTTTGATTTTAGTTTATTACATGCTGAGAAATATGGGCCTGGATTTAATCTCCTGCAAGAGATTGCAGCTTAAATATTTGGAAGATTTTCCAAATATGTATATACATTTTATTACTTCTTATTTTATTTTTGTCCTGAAGGCAAACTACTTCAAAAATGGATTGTAATAATTGGAATTTTCTCTCATTAAGGCTGTTTATATCACTGGAAAAGAAGTTTTCAGCTTTAAAATGGTTTCTTACATGGATGCTACTGCTGGTTCTGCTTACACAGATATGAACGTGGTAGACCTTCAGATTAATTTAACTGTTGGTTGCATTGAAGTAGTTTTTGTCACAAAATTTCTGTATTCTATATTGGTAAGTTTTAATACTTGACTTTTAGTTCTTTTATGCTATTTGGAAATTGCTGTATGTTTTCTGGATATCCTTTATCATACCAAAACCTTTAGTACCTTATTTATATAACAAATATTAATACTATATTTGTATAGCATCATTTTTACATGGGAATAGTCTTGTTAATTGAAATATATTAGTATATTAATACATGTATTACATATCATAATAACTATTAATTGAAGTCCACTTTATATACTGTTGGCTTAAACCCTTATGTTGCTTAACTTTTCATTCTAATGTAAAACTACCAAACATAATTGAAATTTGCTTTAATTTTCCTTTGCATTATGGTTCTGTGCATATTGGAGTCCTTAAGCAGTTAAATTTAATTCTTTTCTGATTTAGCCCTAAGCCTTGTGTGTTCTTAGTTTTGCTTTCATATTTTTTTCCTGTTTTACTGTTACTGTGAGCTCTTAATTTTCTCTTCAGAATCATTCCTATCTCTGTGAAATCACTCTTCTTTTAAACTCCTTCTGTTTCTTGTTTAAACCAGATAATCAAATCTAAATAGGTCAAGTATTGCAATACTTACAAGCAAAGAGAGAATTCATGTATTTATATGGATAGTTTTGGAGATGGGGAACCGTCTTGTGTTAATTCAGAATTTTGAGTTGATTTTGTTTTATGGTATTTTAAATTGCTATTGCTGTACATTTTTTTCTGTAACCATAAAGTCTTTATATAAAGAACAGTAAAAATAACTAAGTAATCTTGTTTAATTTACTTTTTTATTTTGTTACCAGGGTTCAAACTCAGGACCTTGTGCTTGCGAGGCAGGTGGCAAAACCACTGAGCTAAATCCCTGGCCCTGTCTAATTTCTTTGATTAGTCAAAAAATTTATGTCACTAAAACCTCTTGTGATACCCTTATACTTAAGTATTACTGAAAATAAAGTGTTACTTTTTCTCTGAATATAAAAATTAAATGTAAATCTAGAAAGTTATATTTTATGTCAGTGAAATATTTTATCTATAATTTGTAAATTATAGAATTTATTTGAGCATTCTTGAAAAAGGCATTTTAAATTTTATTTTAAAATCTTACAAGCACAAATAAGCTCTCTCTATATACTGAGGTTTTTATATGGAAATAAGATTGTTCAGCTGTTTGGACAAGTTCAGTAAGAAGGGAAATAAGTGACACATTCTACTACCCTTATTTTGCTTTCTTCCAGGGACTAGGTTTTTATTTTATCAATATCTTCATAATTTTTTTAATTTTTCAAGCAGAAAATTAATGTAGATATTTGTATCTTGGATAAAGCGTGATTTGGTTTTACAAATAGTTTTTTCTTACGGAAGTAAAACTATTAAGGACTTTTCCATGACACATCATAGTCAAAATCCCAGAAGTCTCATATAAGAACAGAGTCTTAAAAGCTATTAGAGAAAAACACAAAGGAAAACCCATTAGAATTGTAGCAGGCTTCTCAACATAAACCTTAAAGGACAGGAAGCAAAAAATTATAATCATTATATATTTAATAAATGGAAACAACAGAATAAAATCTATGATCTTTCTAGGCTTTTATAGATAATTTTCAAACAGCTAAAGAAGCCTTGGCTGAAGCAACTGTTCAGGCAGCAGGAATGGCTGCTACTGGTGTAAAAGAACTGGCACAAAGGAGTTCAAGATTAGCACTGGATGTTAACATCAAAGCCCCAGTGGTGGTCATTCCACAGTCTCCAGATTCGGCAAATATTTTTGTAGCTGATTTTGGACTAATTACCATGACCAATAAGTTCATTATGGTGACAGAGAGCCAGAGCAATCCTCCACCTGTTATTGACTTGATAACAATAAAGCTGAGTGAAATGAGACTTTACAGGTAAGCTTTTCTCAAGTCTGTGTATAAAATGCCATCTTTTTCTTAATTTTTATATTGAAGGCTTCAGTATCTTGAGTATTCTGTTTATAGTGGAATTTTATTTTATTATAACCACATTTGGTTTTGTGATTCTCCCAATGATTTTTTTAAAGCAAGATCAGTTATAGTTTTTGTTTTTAAAAACTAGAAAATATTTGAGAACTGCTTCATATATAATTAAGGAAACTAAACTTTATTGCTGATGAAGTATATTTTTGCTTTTTTGTATATTTGTACACTTTTTTCACAGTACTTTATAAATCCTAAGTGTAGAAGAAATGGATTATAGCTTGTTTATTAACTTTGTAAACACAGTAACACCCAAACTAATCTATTAGCTTTGTGTTGTGAACCTGATTCTCTAAGCAAATACACAATGGGGTATAATTTTATGTAATAATTTCACAAGGGATTAGGAAATAGGGAACAAATAAGTATCCCAGTAGTTCCAGGGCTTTTATATTTTGTTTTTTGTGTTTTGTGTTTCAGTGCTATTTTATTATGTGGTTTTTTTTTTTTTTTTTGGTTTTTTTTGGGTAGTGGGAATCAAACTCAGGACTTTGCACTTACAAGGCCAAAGGCAGAACCACTGAGCTAAATCCTTGGCCATCAGTGCTCTTTCAGTTACCTGTTTATTTCCACCTTGAATTAATCTTATTTATTGCTCTCACTTTACCAATTTTTTTCTTCCTGTCAGTTTTCTTTGTTTTCATTTTATTTCTCTCTTTGCTTTTTTGCTTTCCCAACTCCTGCTTATTTTTGTCCTCTGGGTGGTCTGTCTCTTCTCCTTGCCCTTCATTTTGTCAAGTGAATATTTTTGAAGAAATACTTTTTAAAATAATTCGTATACAATAAAATGTGTGTATTTAAAGTATTCCAGTTGCTAGGATATTACAGTTGTATTCTTTCTTCCTTAAATATTGTTAGAGTTCACCAGTAAAGCCAGTTTAGGGCTAGAGTTTATACTTACAGGAAGTTTTTAAACTATAATTTCCATTTTATAGTAAAGAGCTTTATTCACATTTTTTGATTGATCTTTGCTAATTTTTTTCAAGGATTTTGTTCATTTAGGTTTTAATAGCATGAAATTGTTCTTAAGATCCCTTCTTAGTACTTTTCTTAGAAGTTTATCCATTTTACTGATCTTGAAGAACCTGCTTTTGATTTTATTGTCTTCTGTCTTTTCTAATTTTTTTCTTTCCATGATTGTTGATTTCATATTTATTACTTTAGTTTATTTAAGGTTTAAGTTTTGCCCAAAGTTTCTTTAGAAACTCAGATTATTGATTTGGAACATTTCTTCTTTTCTAATATAAGCTATGGTGCTATAAATTTTTAGACCCTCTCTTTGTAGTTCTCTTCCCTCTGTCATTTATCATGTAAACTCTAGCTGACTTGGTCTCCTTGGATCCTCAGCACTATCTTCTTAAGTCAGAGAGTTTTCTGACCTCCTGGGTTCCTCTTCCATGTGCTAATGTCTGTAAATTATCTCAAAACAGTAGTAAACAGGCATTCTAAGGCACACTTGTAGAATCATTGAACATCTATTTTTTGATGTACTGTGCCCTGAAAACTATTTCTTTAATAAATTTTTGTGTATTTTTTTTTTTCTGTTAGAGGGTGCTGTTTTAGGCAGGAAGGTAAATCTGGTTCATGTAAATTCCTTGGATGAAGGGAACGTTTTTATCAATTATATATTTAGCATTTACTATGCACAGTCTCAGCACTGTGGTTAAGAAAAGATATGATAGTACACCATCTTTATAAGTAATAAATAGTACCTACTTTAGTTGTTATAGTTTGTGTGAAGGTGATTCATGTTTTTATGCAATAACTCATTAAAAAGTACAATCACCTTCAGATTTTGGAAGAGTAAATAATCAAAATGAGAGAAAACAGGGTTAGGAGAATAATTTAATAACTTGTAATTCATTCAAGAATTACAGATGACTTTAGGGAAATAAGGTTATAATAGTTTAACAGTTATAAGAAATTTTAAAAGTAGAATCAGTAGCAAATCATTATCTATGTGGAAATTAAAAGAGGAGAATAAAAATCCATTCAAGGCTACAAGCTTAGAAAGCTCAGTAATTTATGTTAATACAATTCACTGAGATAAGAACAATTTAGAAAAAGATGTGACAATATTAGTGATTTCTCTAAGGGACAAGATAACTTGGATATTGTATGATTTCCATATGGAGAGATCTAGAATGCAATTAGACATATATCCTGAATATTAGGAAAGTGACCTTGTTTAGATGTCTAGATTTGAGAGATTCGTAATACTTAGCTAGTTTTTGAAACCACTGGAATGAGAAAGATCACACAAAGAGATTGTAGAGTGGGCCATGTGAAAAAGAATACTGAGGAATGCCAGTATTTAAGGAAGAGGAACCTTCAAAAAAGACTAAAAAGGAGCAAGGGGATAATAGTGTTTAGGGTTCTGTGGTTGTTCCATGAATTTAATAGTATTTGCTTTTTTTCTTGATTATGTATTTAATATTTTGTATTGAAAATTCAACAACTAATTGGAATCAAGCAAGACTGAATTTTTGACAAGAAGGTGTGATTGAAGGTAGAGCAAAGGATTTTAATTTTTGACACTCACATTGATGGATAATGCATGTGAAATAAATTAATGACAAGAGGGTATTGATAAGGCAACAGAATATATTAAGGCCTTTATATATTGGAGAAACAATAATCTTATTATTAAAAATATATAGACTAATTGTCATAGCATGAGTTAAAGGTAGTAAACCTGTATATTATTATGAATAATAGTGAGATTTGGGAAGCATCATTGCAAATGAAGAAAAAATATTTTTGTCTTACCCCGAGATAGGTAGAAAAGTGGAGGAAAATTGGCCTCTGTTTTATAGAACTTCTTAGAAAGCCAGATTTCAATTGAAATAAGGAATGATATATTTAAGGAAGACATTGGAAAATGTAGACTGATTTGTTAAGTTCAAGGATATTAGAAAATAGAAGATTTTGAGGTGAGAGACTTAATAATAGGCTATAAATGTGCAGTGGTAACTTTAAAGCTTTAGGCATTTAAATAACCTGAAGAGTTTGAACCATATAAAAAGTCTGAATTTACTAAAATTAGAATATTTATACCCCTATTTTAATCACATCTTTATTTAAAGAAATAGATACAAATTAGATGAAAGTTTGTATTTTAAAATTTTTTTTTATGAGTTCACAAATACCTGTAGAGCATTAAGTTATAATACTTGTTAGTTTTTTGTCCAAAGGATTAAATTTTATCCAGTCATTTTATTTGATAATCAACATAAAAGTTTGACATTGATTTGACTCTTCAAAGATAACTAACAAATAGATACATTTGTTCCTTTTCATTTTATTTGCATGTATATTTAAGTTAAGTAAAATTGTAATTTTATGTTTCATCCTGTTTCTTTTTTCCTTAACAGTATGCTAAAAATATTTTTCTACCTTGTTATTTCGACTCCATAATTTTTTCTTTTTTTTTCTTTTTTTTATTTGATATTGGGGATTGAACTCAGGTCCTTGCACTTGTGAGGCAGTCTCCAGAACCACTGAGCTAAATCCCCATCCCTCCATAATTTTTTCTTAGTGTTTTGTTCTTTAGGTTTTTAGAAATCCATTTGTCTTTGTTAGATATTTAACTAGCTTCAGTTTTTTTGTTATTGTAAATAATAGTATAATAATGATGGGTATTTTTGTTCATCTTTAGGATGAATTCCTAGAAATATAATTATTCAGTTATAGCGTATTACCAAATTATCGTGAAATAACTTTAAAATAATTGATATTCAAAAATTCAGCTTAGTTTCTACTTCGTAGCAAATCAAGATGAGTATTCATATTTGTGACTTCCTATATTTCTGTTTATACACTAATCCAATTTCTTGAATGCAGTTTAGCAAATATTTGATGAGATGACATGCTGCTCATCCAAATACTACTGGCAACAGAGCAAAGAATAATATAGATATAGTCCCCTCCCTTGTGAAGCTTTTATTCAATTGAAATTATAAATAATATATACTATCAAATTAAAAACAATGATAGAAAAACTTCAAGGTATTTGTAGGAGAAGGCAAGTAAAACTGCCTGACCCTCAGACACTGAATAGTACTTTTGGATAAGTGGGTTTTTTTCTAAATGAAGCAGTTTTTTATGGAGCATTTATGCTGCTTATATTTTATCTAGAAGAAACTATTTCTCAAGATAATAATCAAGTATTTATTATAATAACACATTGGAATCAATTTTTTAATAATAACTGATATGTAGCCTTAGTATAATGCATAGCCATTAAAGTTGTACATACAGTCAGTACTCCTCCATAGAGTAAGTGTTCAACTTTTTGGCTTGCCTGGGCTGCATTGAGGAATTGACGTGGTCTGCATATAGTATAGTAGTATAGTTAATGTATATATAACAAAGTTTCCTTTGTTACATTTTTTATTGTAATATGACATACACAAAAGAGGGCAACATAAATCCTAAAGTAGTGGGCCATTTGACTTTAGTTTTGTGAAAGTAATGCAACAGTGTCTTCTGGTTCATTGGAAATGGACTCTGTGGTTCATTTTGAAAGTAGTGAGTCACAAATGTACATACTGCCAAATAGGAGTGACATGAATAAGGCATGACTGTGAATTTCAAGATATTTTTCTGTGGAAAGGTAGATCTTATAAAAGTCTAGTAAAGAGATATGATCAAAATTTTCTGAATTGAATGTCTAATTGCAATGATATACATTCCAAAAATTAATAAATACCAACTGTTTATTTTTCTAGTATTAGTGATGTTGTATATGTAATTATAACAATATGAGCAAAAAATCGCATGATATATTTTAGTACTTTCTATATACTACAGCTTCTAAAGACTAGATTAACTTACTATTTTACAAAGAAAAAGAAGTCTGGGGCCAAGGATTTATCTCAGTGGTATTGCACTTGCCTCACAAGCTCAGGGTCCTGAGTTTGATCCCCAGTACCACAAAAAAAAAAATCTGAGTTTAATAATTAAATATCAAAACTTACATGTCTGCCTAAAAGTAATCACCAATGTTAACAGGCACACACACATAGGAGGTTGAAATACTTTTATAGTTAATTGCTGAGTTTGTCAACTCATATAAGCAACACCTGATATGTTCTACTGACTTTGGTAAATGCGGGTGGCAGAGTTAGCACTATACTACACACTCACCTATAGAATGTTCTGTTGTTACCTCTACAATGCACACTTGAACATAATTGAGTTATGCAACTGTATGTCTTTGGTAAATGCGGGTGGCAGAGTTAGCACTATACTACACACTCACCTATAGAATGTTCTGTTACCTCTACAATGCACACTTGAACATAATTGAGTTATGCAACTGTATCATAATCAGAGTCATAGAAACAATCATATAATGTTAAAATTTTATGATCGCATGAAGCTGTATCACTAGCCATGTGGGACAGCAGGATGGATATGCCTGCTTGATAGGGTTTTTAGATTCCTTATCAGCATTAGGCAGAGATCGCAGGCATGCATGTATGTTTAAGTAGAGTGTCACATCATAGTCCATCCAGGAAATGGTTTCATACTGAGCATTTTTAGAGATCTCTGATGACTTCTGTATTTCTCTGCCACTGTGTAAATAATAGCCAAAAATCATATAGTCATGTCTTCATACCCTAAAGATTTACTGCCACTTAAAATATAAGTACAATATTGAAGAGTAACCTGTGGAGATTGTCATTTGAAAGTACAGATGGTCCTATATTCTTTGAAGGGCTTGTATGACCTTACTCTTGTCTTCACTCCTGAGCATCAGTCCTGTTTTTACAAGTGCTTGGAAAGGCACATACAGTCCACTTAATGTGAAATTGTACATAACCAGCTATTATTTGGATCCACAGAAATAGAAATTTTTTAAGTTACAACTTTATTTTTTTAAGGGGATATGTGTTCTACATATCTAAATCAGCAAATTAAAATGTTTTATAGTAAGGTATTAAATAATACTTCTTTACTGACTATATAAACATTCTTATTTTAAGGTCTTTCTAATCAGCTTGTATATTTTTTGGCATTTTTCATCATATTATATTTCTATTTTTAAAAACTAAGAAACATTTCAGCTTACAGAAGATCAACTGGGTTTCTAGTGGGATGAAATATCTCTCATTTTGATATGTAAAAATCTGATAAAGTTGATGTTTCTTCACCCACAAAATCATTGGTTTTTACTGTTTTATATGATATGATACATTAATCTTTTTTCTTATCTAAATATATACAAAACAATCCAAAACAATTTTATTTCTAATTGTAGGTCTGAATTTATTAATGGTGAATACCAAGAAGTGCTGGATCTACTACTGCCACTAAATCTTGAAGTGGTTGTTGAGCGAAATTTATCCTGGGATTGGTACCAAGAAGTTCCTTGTTTTAATGTAAATGCTCAGTTAAAACCCATGGAGGTAACTCTGTAGCTGCTTATTAATTTCTGTTTTGTTTGTTGAAAAATACTCCCTCAGAAAATAAATTTTAGGTGAAAAATTCGTGTATTGTCCAGTTGGTCAGAATTGAAATAGTATCTTATTAACAGACAAGTTAGGCAGACGTGCAAGCATATTATTAAACTTAGGCTTGAATTCATTTAATGTTCTCCATTTGTTCATTTAACAAATATTTGAGTTGACTGCCTCCTGTCCTGAGCTAGATATTGGAGGTACTCTGATAAAGAAGCTACAGTGTCTCTGACTTCATGGAATTTACCAGTCTAAGCCAGATGATGGTGGTCTGGAATGTGCAGAAGTCAGATAGTAAAAATAATTACGAGGCAATTCATGAAGGTAGCAAATACTAGGCAATTATGGTATATATATATTAGTAGAGAGATCTAAGGTGGAAATACTGATTTGAGAGTCATCAGTATATACTATTTAAAGCCATAGGAATATATGAAATAATCTAGAAGAAAGAATATTTTAAAAAGAGAAAGTCCTAGAAGAGTGGAGAGGTTGAAGATCAAAATGGCAGATGTTAGCATCACTTTAAGTATAGTTTTACCTGCCTACTGGTTGACTTTGCTTCACAAATCTGTAATGGAAGAACCACAAGTTCATATTTTTTCCTGTGGACTGAGTGGAAATTGAAACTACCATATGTTTTACTGAAGTACAGCAGCTTATACCCTGGAAGGTTTCCTTAAGAAGCCTACTTAAATCCTCTTACCTCCTACTCCCAGTTTCTTTATTTGTTTCTATTTAAAATTTTTTTCTAAAAGTTAGAACTATCATTTTAGAGATTTATGAATTTTAAATCAAACTTACATTTAGAGATTTATAAGATAATGTTGATGCTTTAATTTATAGGGTCAGAAGTGGAAAATATCTTAAGATAAATAACTAAAGTCTCTTAAAAAGAGTAGATAGAAACTTGTTAAACATAAGTAACATATTCCACTCATGTTGTTGTGGAAATCCCTACGCCACTTGGCCCAAAGCAGGCAGATTTTTGTGCAACAAGAAGAATACTGCATTACATACTCTTCCCCAGGCATATGTCTGCAGAATATTCAGGTGATGCTGTAGACCACCTGCCAATGCTCACTGCCTTTTGAGGCAGTTTCACTAGGAAGAAGTTGAATCTTCCCCACCCCTAATTGTCCTGAGTACAAATATTCCTCATTTAAGGACATATCTTTTTAACAGCTCTCTAGACTTAGGACTGGGGCATGCTCTTCAAATTTAAGATGTGCCATTCAGAATTATGACCTATCTTTTTTTTTTTTTTTTTTGGTACCAGCAATCGAATTCGGGTTCTTGTGCTTACAAGGCAGGTGGCGGAACCACTGAGTTAAATCCCCAGTTCATGACCTATCCTTTTTTGTTGTTAGTCCTGTACATCTTGATTATAGAGCCTTAATGTCTTTTTTGTACAGTACACCTTGTTTATACAGTTCTTTAATTTTTGCAGGTTGCACTGTACTGTACTATAGTTTTATGTTATACATTACAGTACTGTATGTAAGAGTTATATAAATAAAAGCAAAGTCATCCAGTTGGAGTTTCCTTTGATCATTTCTTTGTTTTGAATAGGGTACTGTACATATTATAATGGAATTCCTCATTTAGCAACCAATTCAATTGATGACTTGGAGGCAGGAATGGAAACTTGGTCAGTAAATGAGGAATGTCGGTAATTAGTGGCTCTTGCAGCCCAGTCTGGAACCCACATACTTCATTTGCTCCTTCTTAGGGCTCATTCTCTGTGTCAAGGAGAAGCTGGATTTCAGGGTAGTCTAATGAATCACGACCAAGTGCTGCTGCAGTTGGTGACTCTGACCTATAGGATGTTTTTGGGTTTTACACCCAAACTATCCTGACATTTAGGAGCCACAGGTAGTAGTCATAAGATCCTTACAGTCCTTCCAACTTCTTCCACTCACCTGCTGACAGGAGTGAAGAATGATGATTAATGTCAGTATTTGAGGGATATTAGCTACATAGTAACTGAGTTTGTTTATAAGTTTTATTAGAGTTCATATGTTTGCAGTGGCTGCTGCATAATAGTTACAAAATAAATGTCATAAAAAGATGAATGAAGTAGTATGAATAAGGTATACATTCTCTTACTCTTGAAAACTAGATTAGTATAACATCATTGAAGTTCATTCAGTTAAAAGAATATATTTTTTGAGAATAAAATTATTCCTTTGGATTATAATAATCAGAAAGAACGGTTTTGACAAACTTAGAAGCAAGCCAGAAATAACTTAAGAAAAGTGTCCTGATTAAATACATCAGTAGATTCTTTATTAAAATTATTGCTGTTATATTTTATCAGTGTTATCTAGAGAAAAAAGATGTGAGGTGTGATAGGGTTTTTTTAAAAAATAATTGCTGTGTATGATTATGCAGGCTAGCAAGTTCAAAAGCAGCAGGGTGGACCAGTATGATATTTATAAAGGAAAGAGTTGATGCTGCAGTAATCTGAAAGTAGTCTGCCAGCAGAATTCTTGCTTCAAGTAGATTGATCTTTTTTCTAGTGAGTGCCTGATTGAATGAGGCTTACCCACATTATGGTAATCTGATTCATTTAAAATATACTCATTTAATGTTACTCTCACCTGAAAACATATATCTTTACAGAAACACTTAAAATATTGTTTGACAAAATAACTACTGTGTCCAAGCTAAGCTAACACATACAATTAACCATCATCTTTCAAGAGAGGTTTTGTGATGTTGGTTTTAGGCTGAATTGAAAACACATAGGGTTTGAAGTTAGCGCTGTGTGTGTGTTTTACATGAACTGAAGTATGTACAGTTTAGCTTCAGCTTCTTTTAAAATCCAGACTATATTCTATATTATATTCTAGGGCTATTGTCAGTCTCAAATAAAAGTAATTATATAAAGTATATATGAAATATTCTTCATTTTACAAATGTAATATATTGTTTTGACTTTTTATAAAATGTGCTTACTGAAAAAGTCAGGTAATTTGATGACTGCAGTTTAAACTTAATTTCAGTGTTAAAACTATTCATTGTTCATAGCATCATCAGTATAGGTATCTAATTTAGTTGTATTTCATATGCTACTAAAGATCACATGCTCACTTAGAAAACAATACTCAGTTCATAAAAATCTTTGATGCTTTGAAAATTGGTTTTATAGGGAATTGCAGTAAACAGTCATGTTTCTTGAATAAGAATTTTAAGTACAAGAGGTAGAAGTGTTTTAAAAAGCACATCCTTTGGGTGTATTTTTTTCTGAAATTTTATATTTTTTAACAGTTTATTCTTAGTCAAGAAGATATAACAACTATTTTTAAAACATTGTATGGAAATATATGGTATGACGAAGGTGTTAGCGCCTCATCTGCTGTAACTAAAGACCAAAGTAGTAGTACCAGTGCAGCCACTAATGCTTCACACCATTCAGGAGGTACGTTCATCATTCCGAATCAGTTTCACCTTCCTCTCTTCTTTTCTCCTCTTTCTTTCCCTCCTTCCCCTCCTCTTTCTCCCTCTCCTACCTTCATCTCTTCTTACCTTCATTCCTCTCTTTTGTCTCCTCTCTTCTCTGTGTTCTTGCCCATCTTTCCTTTGTTCTTCTTTTCTCTAGTTTTGGTGAAATAGGATTTATGAATCTCTTTCTAATCAGCTAATCCCATTTGGGCATTTCTAAATTATCTATCTTGTTAGTCATTCTGTTGATTTTTTTTTCTTTTGAGTCAGAGTTCTTAGTCCTATTGTTACAAAACATCCTTATTGTTTGTTTTTGTTTTCCCAAATTCCCTCTAGATTTTTATTTTTATTTTTCCCCTTTCCTCCTCCTCATTGCTTGTCCTAGTATAGGATATATCCCACAATGAATATTTTATACTGATACTGAGACTATCAGATTATTAGAAGTATGACGAGAGGATGATCTTCGTAGGTGAGAGGTTTTAACAAATGTTGTGGATATAGATGGGTGGGAAGCAGAGTAGAAGGAACCATAGCTTACAGAGGCTTTTTCCAGTGTTAGATCGAAGGTGCTATGTGGAATGCTGGCTCATCATCAGTACATGGAAAATGGGTAGTTAGAGATGCTAGGATTATTTTGAGGCATAAGAATAGTTTCCCTCACTCTATGTGAGAGGATTCCTCTGCTCACCTACCTTAAAGTAAAACCTAAGCCATAACACCCACCTTTGTAAAGCCCTGAGGTATGCCACAAGTTGACCATTTAGAGAACCTTAACACAGAAACAACCCTTCATTCACAGCATCATTAAAAAAAACAAAAACAAAAACAAAAAAAACTGCATCTTTACTAGATAGAGTGATCCACTCTCTTCTTTATTGTTAAATATAAATGGTCAGATATGAAGAAAATCATAAGCACACAAGCATGAAACATAGACCCAATAGTGTTTTCTGAATGAAATAATTGAACAAACAAAAGAAAAGAAAAAAAAGTCTGCTGTTTTAAGAGGATTAGGTAATACTAGAAATGGATCTTGTAAGCCCCACAAGGAAAGAGTTCTTGGAAATCGAAAGTATAATTGCTATATATTGAAATAAAAACAACTGGTATAGGGTTTTAATGTATTTAGTTGAACATAAAGTTAAATTTAAATTCAGTTGCACAGAGGCGAAAAAGAGAGGAACAGATAATGTAAACTTAAGAGTGATGCTTCAGTTCAAAAGGGCCAATTAAAAAAAATAGTATTATAGACGAAAAGAATTAAGAAAATAGAAAAAGCTTTCAAAGAAGTGTTAAACAACTTAGACCTAAATATTGAAGCCATTTGTTAGATGTAAAGAAACTACTGAGTTTTAGGCAGATTAAGTAATCCAAGACCCCCAACCCCATTCAAACACATTTTCATGGAACATCAGGATTGAAAATTTAAAAATTTTAATATTTCAATAAAAAAGAAACAGACTACTATTAGGATGTATGGGAGAAATGACAGGATGATGTTTTTCTTTAGTGACCCCTAAAAAGAGAGTGGAGCAATATTTGAAAATGCTAAGTATGACTTTAAAGTTATTTCTATGCATGGCTTAAACCGTCATTGAAAATGTGAAAAAAAAATAATTCTCACATTATTAGTGATTCAAAATTTATTCAAACTCCCCCATATTTACACCTTAGTTTAAAAATATATTCTAGAAAGATAATCTAGGAATCCAGGAAAAAGAAAAATTCAGGATTAAGCAACAATGTTCTTACCAAGAAATACATCCAAAATGATATGTGTGAATAGGGTTAGAAAGTAATTGATTTTCATTTCTACTGGAATAATCTTTTAAAAATAACATAATTCCCCATAAAATGTGTGATGATGAGTTAAGTGCATTATATAAGTGATATATAGAGAGGAAGACATGTTTTTCTGTTTTTAAAGCACTCTAAACCATGGTGCAGAAGTGAATTAGACTACATTATGCATGATTTTTGTGGCATTAATAGAAGGTGAGGCAAGGTAATCTTTTCATTATTGATCAGTGAAATTACAGCAGCAAGGGCAGCAATATAATAAACTGTAAATCTCTTCACTGAAAAATATTTATAGTCAACACAGAGCAGAGGAGTACCCTTGCTTCAGTCCATTGACATAGAAAGACAATATAAGTAAGAAAATAAGTGTTATCAATAGTCATTATATAGAAGTAAAGATGTAACTGATTAAAGCTGGAAGGAGGAAGATGGGAGAGGTGGAGGAAATGGTAAAGGTTTTCATAGTGGGGATTACAAAAAAAACTGATACAAAAAGGAACAGAGGTTAGAATTCATCTAATCATTTTCTTCTGAAATCTTTTAATATGTGCATTAGAGAGAATAAAATATTGAGCCCACATGTACCTATCACCTAATTTCACCAGTAGTATCATTGGATACTTTTGTTATTCTTGTAACTCTTCTTGTCTTCACTAGATTATTTTAAAATGTCAAGTGTTACACCATTAATTGCTATTCATTTCTAAGCAATATTGTCTTTACTTTTATCATACAATCATAGTAATATTACCCCTAAAACTGAGGCATACTTAAAAAAAGACCACAAAAATATACAGATAGGATTTATATTTCTTCTTGTTGTCCTATAAATAAAATGTCTCTTTACAAGTCCATTCACAAGATTTAATAATCGTAAATTTATATATATCAAATATCAGAGTTTCAAAACAAATGCAGCAAAAAATTGACAGAATTAAATATGGAAGCTTTATACGATTCATAGTTGGGGACACAACACTCTTAATAATTGATAGGCTATAGAGAAAAAATTAGAACGAATATAGAAGATTTGAACATGGTGATCAGACTTGATTTAATTGATGTTAATATAATACTGTAGTCAGTAACTGCAGAATGTAGTTTTTATTAATTATGGAATGCAACTTAGTGGTGAAAGAAATTTGTTGCTATAAAGAATTAGGAAAGAACAAAAGTACAAAAATCAAATATTCTACCTCAGGAAACTAGAAGAACAAATTAAATAAAAGTAAATAAAAGAAAACAACAGTAAAAATAAGAACAAAAACTGACTAAATAGAATAGATGAATCATAAAAAATAAAGGCTGGCTGTAATGGTTCAGGCTTCTAATCCCCACTCAGGAAGTTGAAGCAAGACAAATTCAAGACTAGGCAGAAGTACTTAGTGAGTTCAGGGCCAGCCTAACATAAAGACCCTGTCTCGGAAAACAAAAGAGAAGTAAAAGTTTATTTTTATTGGAAAGATTAATAAAACTGATAAACTCCTAGCAAGATTAATGATGGAACACAAATTCACAGAATCAGTTTTAAATAGATTACTATAGATCTGCTCATTAGTGGATATTATGAGTAAATTATTTGTTGGCATTCTGTTACTAAGATACAGTATAGTGGTTAATAAACTTATTCTTACCACAATTCTGGTCACAAACCGAGATGGACAAGAGTGAATCAAATTCAGTGGTTAGGTTCAGTGTTGACAACTTTATGGACAAATTTCATTCAGTTCTCATCCAGTTTGTTTTGTGACCAAAATTGTGGAAAGAACTAAATTCGTAAACAGAGGCACTACTGTATCGAACACCCACAATTTAAACAAGGAGAGGTTTAATTTGGCTCATGGTTCCAGGATATTTAATCCATGGTTGGCTGGCTCTGAGAAACCATTGCAGAAAGAGCATGTTAGAGCAGCGCTGCCTAAATCATGGCCCCAGGGAAGCAGAGCAGAAGAAAGGGCAAGGGACTATGTATGTCTCCATGGTCAAGTTTCTTTACCCACCCAGATACTGCATTTGGTCGGAGCCAAAAGGCCAAGAAGTGATCCATTGCCCACCCAAAAAGACTCAGAAGTGTGGTTTACTAATCCATAAGGTAGCTCCCAATTATGACACAATTATTCTTGTCAAAATATTTCATGACAATTCTACAATATGGATGAAAGCAAGAATTGTTAAACTGGCTTGAAGAGAAATAGAAAATATGGCTAGGCCTCCATCTTTAAAGGCATTAAATTTCACTGTTGAATTCCATTAAATAAATTTTCACTTTATAATTCACTTTTGTCAAACTATCCCACAACACACCAGATTCCTTTTTATGAGTGTTACTTTGACCTTATATAACAAGTCACTAATGGAAAAAACTCCAGCCAAAATCATATTCTGTAATCTTCAAATTGATCATCAAGACTAGGAGTTTTATTTATTTATTGGTGGTAGTGTTGGGTCTGTGTTGGCTAGTAGCAGTGCCACAGCAGCAGCCCCTAGGTGCCCTGCACCATTAGACTGCATTCCTATGACGAATAGATTTGAGTCCTGCATTGGCACAGACCTTTCAGAGTTATCTGTACCACCCCTCCCCACACAACTGTTCTGCTACTTTTGTGCTGGATGGAGGTGCTGAACCTATCAAATGTTTAAGAATACCACTATTACACAAATTATTCTGGAAAAGTTAGGAAGGGAATACTTTTCTACTCATACAAAACATGCATCACCCTAACAGAGAAATTAGAAAAGGACTTCATGCAAAGGTTGTCAGATACCAGTAGTTATGGCTTGTGTCTAGATGTCCCTTCAAAACCTCATGTGAAAATAGGTGGGCTTTTCAGAGGTGGTTGGATCTAGAATGTGTGATGCTGGGATGAAGGGTGTATGATTACTAAATTAGTCTACTGATTAGCTTGGCATAGTTCTGGATATGGATAATAGGAAGGCTCACCCTGGGTGTGGGTGATGCCTCTTGAAGGATGGATAGCCTGGAAGGGATAAAAGGAAGAGGTCACCTGCTGTTGCTGCTCTTTGCTACTTCACTGCTTTGCTGCCTTCTGCATGGCAAGAACTGTTTCTCACTCTGCTGTACCACCTGCTTTGGAGCCAGCCTATTATGGACTGAATGCTCCACAAACTGTGAGCCACAATAAACCTGTCTTTTTTTAACTTTGGGTGTTGGGTATTTTTTTCCTCAGTAACGAGAAAGTAACTAGAAACCAGTGTCCCCCATGAACACAGACATAACATTTCCTAACATATTAGCACACTGAATCTAATTATAAGGATATAAGGAAAGTTCACTTTGAGAATTATCCTGAAAGGGGAAGTTGGTTTAACACTTGAAAAATAATTCACCAAACTAAAGGTGGAAAGCATGTAATCACCTTAACAGCTCCAAAAGAAAACAAAAATGCTTTTGAAAACTTCTCCTATTCATGATAATACTAGAAATATCACAGAGGTATACTTGTTATTTTCCACCCTAAAAATGAATGTCCATGCTTACTATTTCTATTAGTATTTGGCTAGCAGACAGAACAATAAAGCCAAGAAAAAGATTAATAGGTCTGGAGTAGAAAGGAATGCCATTCTCTTTTTTTTCTCAGACAGCTTTATCAACTCCACAGAAAAGCCTAAGAAGTCTCTGGTAAATTCTAGAATTAAATGAATGTAACATTTTTAACAAGATAAATTAACATGTAAAAATTTTTATCACTAACAATTAGAAAGTAAAAATTTAAATACTATCTGTAGTAGTGTCAAAATCATATTGGAAGGAAGTTCAATAAAAGTATTGCAAGAGTTCAACACTGAAAAATACCTGTACTAGTAAGAGAAACTGAATGGCACTTTAATATATAGAGAGGTGTATCATATCAATAGATTGGAAAGAAATCTCAAGATAGTCCTCACCATGTTGATTCTATAGATTCAACATAATCCAAATCAAACTTTTTTAAAATAGAAATTTAAAAATTGCTTTTAAGATTTACATGGAAGGTCTGGGATTTAGCTCAATAATTCCACTGCCTGCCTCCTAAGCACATGGTGCAGAGTTCCATCCCTGGTACCAAAAAAAAAAAAAAAAAAAAAAGAAAAACAGAAAAAAACAAATTTGCATGGAAATAATAAGCACTAAGAATAGTCAAAAACTAATAGTCTGAAAGTACTAAGAATTTACCCTAATGTTAAAACTTGCTATACAATCTATATTTGAGTTGTATTGGCAAATTTTAGGCATATAGAATGGAAGAAAATAGAGTGTCTAGTAGATACTTAGTACAATTATTTGATTTTAACAGAATTTACTGAGTGAGGAAAGGAAGACTTTTAACAAGTGGTGGTGTCACAGCTAGATAAATACAGAAAAAAATGGAACCTTTCACTTCACTGCATACACACATTGAAGTATCTGAAAGATATAAATTTAAAAGCTAGAACTTACAAATCTTGGGAAGAAAACATTAAGGATGATTATCTTCATTGACAATGGGATAGCCAAATATTTTTCTGCGTAGAATACCAAAGCAATAATCATGAAATAAAATTTTATAAAGTCGATTTTATTTAATCTGCTTCCAGTTAGTATAAAGATACTTAAGTCTCGCCTCAGACTTAGAGACATAATTGTGATACATGTATTGGATAGTGTTATGTCCGTACTATATTAGCTATAAATTGGTAGTAACTTTTTAAAATCAAAATGACCAAAAGATTTAGAAATTTGAGAGAGGTTGCTGTGTAAATGTACATGAAAAGTTGGTGGCTTAATTATTAGGAAAACTTCACAGTTTACCAAGCTTGTTAAATTTTAAAAGATTGACAATAAATACTGATGAGAAGTAGAACAGCTCAAATTCTTTGTGTGTGTGTGTGTGTGTGTGTGTGTGTGTGTGTGTATATATACATACTGCTGATAGTAATCTGTACACTTATCAGATTTCTTTAAATTGTTCATATAAAATCTATATATTTCACTGTAGGTTTTATATCACAACTGGCATGGTGATATTAGTCTGGAGTTGATTAGAATGAGAATTAGGAAGTGTTGTATTTTCATGTTATTAAATATATATTATGTACATTGATGCTTTTCTTGAAAATTTAAATGTAATGAAAACAGGATTTTGAATTCTGATGAGTGGGACAATTTTTAAAGGCTCCTAAAATACCTTGGCCTTATTTTGTAAAGTAAAATTTGAAAACTAAACTGTGACGTCATCATTACGTACTTCACACAGGTTTTTTCACGCTATCTCCAAAACAAGCCCAGTGGTTACTTCTGGTATTCCCATCTTATTAAAGTGGAAATGAAAGTGTCCAGCAGAAATGGAAGCACAGAGTATTTAATCAACATTCCCAATTTATTATAGAGTGGATTGTAAGCCAGGAGTTCTACATCTGAATTTTGTAATCTTTTTCATTTATTGAATATTATTTCCTAAACCCATTTAGTTAATAATTCTTTTGTCTATTTCAAGATTATTATAGTGAGCTACTTTGCGTAACTTTTTCTTTATTCAATAACTTCAATTTTTCAAGGAACAACTGTGGTGACAGCTGCTGTGGTAGAAGTACATTCACGTGCCTCTCAAGTTAAAACAACACTGAATATAAGTTTCAGAACTGATTATCTCACCATGGTACTATATAGTCCAGGTCCTGAACCGGTAAGTTGAGAAAGAAAAGAAAATATGTTTTTACTTTTGAAAAATTATATAGATTAATGTTTGTTAAATAACAGTTGGTATTTCCATGTGTGTTTTGTCATCTCTGTTCCCCTGAGAAAAATGGTTGATCTTTTCACTTTAATGATAATTTTAATCATCTCAATTTTTAAATTAGTTATCTTGCATGTAGGTAGTAATGTGAAAAATAAATATTAAAATTAATTTTTTGAACTTTTCCTTTGAAAATAGAAAAATTCCTCCTCAGCAGTGGAGTGTGGGCTTAACATGGGCAGAGCTCAGGGGTCAGTCCTCAGCACCAAAAACACAAAGAAGAAAGAAAATAGGGAATTTTGATGCTTCCTATAAACAGACACAATAATTTGTAGTAGGTCTTACCATAAAATATACATTAAACTTGGTTGTTTTGTGAAATTATTGTATGGATTTTCTCTTCCGCAGGCTTCCTTTTCAGATATTCGTGATCCTTCTCTGCAGCTTGCTGAATTTAAATTGGAAAATATTATAAGTACGTTAAAAATGTATACAGATGACTCTACAGTTTCCTCTCTCTCATTAAAAAATTGTATTTTAGATGACAAAAGACCTCATGTCAAGAAAGCAACCCCTAGGTATGTATTGTGTTCTGAGGTTTATTTTTTGTTTGTTTGATGGTACTGGGGATTG